GTTTTCTTTAAATCTGACAAATGCATTGTATAATTACTTCTTTCTGTGCTTACAGTAAGTCCTAAAAGAGCAACATTAGAATATTCTACAAGTATTTTCTTGAGTGGGCTAAGAAAAACTTTTAAATATCCAGATATAGAATACCATTTGATAGAGATGATGCTCTAACTTGCAAAGCAAGTGCTCAACAAATATTTGCTACTTGAATACAACTTATAATGTAAATACAGATTTGCTCTGTCTTATGAGAAATTGCCACACAAATGCTTGGATTCACAAACTAGATTAAGTAGCTGCACTACTGTTTTTTGTTTTTTGAGACAGAGTCTCACTCTGTTGCCTGGGCTAGAGTACAGTGGCACAATGATAGCTCACTACAACTTCAAACTCCTGGGCTCAAGCATTCCTTCTGCCTCAGCCTCCCAAGTAGCTGGGACTACAGGTGTGTGGCACCATGCCTAGCTAATTTTTAAACTTTTTTTGTAGAGATGGCGGTCTCACTATGTTGCCCAGGCTGGTCTCGAACTCTTAGCCTCAAGTGATCCTCCTGCCTTGGCCTCCCAAAGTGTTTAGGATTACAGGTGTGAGCCACAGCACCTGGCTTACTCTTTACATTATTTATTACTCCAGTATGCTTCTCTGCTAAGCTTTAAAAGAAAAAATTTTGTGAAACCTTGAAAAATGGGAGTAGTAACAGTTTGGAGAATCACTACTGATTTAATGTCAACTTAGTATATTATTTAGAAAATAAAATCTGAATCCAACATTATGACAGAATGTTAGAAGAGAGCTCTGAAAGGTTACCTCTTCACTTTAATACCTTTATCTGCAGTTTCATTTGGTCCCTCATTTTTATGTTTTTTAAAATTAAACACAGGTTATCAAGAAAGTATAAATGAAAGGTAAATGTTTATTGTTGGAGAAGAGAAAAATGTATACAAGAAAGTCTAGATTCTTTCTCCTCATGCACTACTTTAAGAATAAAGTTCCAAATATCAACTTTGAAGATATTTACAAGGATAAATTTTTCTCATCACATGACCATTTACTGTGTGGTGGACATTTTTTCATAGAAGCCATATACACTGTAAACTAAGTATATTCTTATAGTTTACAAGAAGCTTAGAGCAATAATGTATTAACAAAGAAGATGGTATTATATTTTACTGCAAAATATTATAAAAGTGATACAATTTTGTGGCTCTTAAATGTTTAATTACTTGATTTGAACAAAGGAATGAACAACAACCAAAAAAAAAGACACCCAGAAAAATCATCAAGACAAAGCTGGCTTTAAGATTTTTTGTATTCGATTCTTTCTACTTTCACATCATCTCCAATGAGCTGATACACATAAGTGACCACTGTAGAAGCCTGGATATCCATTAACACAAATGATGGAATAATGTTTCTAGAAGAAAAAATAAATAATGTCAGTGTTTTGTACTAAAAAGCAGCAGCACCGCAAATTTTAATTTAAGATGACAATTTGGATTCAAGGAGAAATCTGTTACTCACATATTAAAAAGAACAATTACCAAAAGATTGCCAAAAAGGCTAGAATTATTTAAATAGCCACATTTCTTTTTATGAAATGTAACACATGCAATTATTAATTTTACTAAAGCCCCCAAATTCCCAAATTGTATATTACTCACGTTTCCAAGGCATTATATGCTCCAGTGGCAGAACCTGGGTTTATGTAGAATTTATTTTCATGTTCAAATGCTTCAAATTTGTGTGTGTGTCCTGAGATCAGAATGTCCACATCAAACTGCCTCTGCAACAGGGCTAAGCTGGCCATATCTCCCCATGGAATAACTTGATGTCCATGGATCAAACCAATTTTGAACTGTCCAACAGTCACAACTTTCTGTTCTGGATAATTCAGATTCTAATATAAGAAACATAAGAAAATATAGAGATACTGATATTTAAAAAGGAATCTGCTTACACATTAATCTCATATGGATGTGTTGATACAGTGCCTCATAACACATTTACAAATATTTAATTTCTTCTCAGTCTTTAAGGCTGCAACTATGCTTAAAACATAACTTACTGTATGTAAACTGGAATTTATCATGTAATCCTTTTATTGTGTTTACTTCTATAGAATACAGATTCTTTTGTACATGCTGTAAAGAATAATTATCCCCCCAACCTGTTATTTTCTTCTACATAAGGCATATAACCTGTAAGTTCAGGTGTGTTCAAATTGTATCCCAGGCCTTAATAATTATATAGATGGCTTAAAATAATAATGATAATTAATACTTATATAGCACTTAGTATAAGCCAGACACCATTGCAAGGGTTTCACAAATACCAATTTATTTAATATTCACAACAATTCCTAAGAGGTAGGCTTTATTATGATCCCCATTTTATGGATGAGGAAACAGGCACAAAGAAGTTAAATAACTTGCCCAAGATCACAACTAGTAAGTAGTTGAGCTAAGATCCAAACCCTGGTGGTATGGCTCCTGGGTCTATGAATTTAGCAAACTAAAAAACTTTAACTCTTCCTAATTAAGCTGTCTTTAACATAACACAAACAGAAGCTCTAATATAAAATGTTATACATATATACACACACATAAATGTTTTTAATAAACCAGACCTATCTTCTAATTATTAACAATTTTGCCCCTTCCCTTCTTATTCATCCCCTCCTGCATGTCACCTGTAGTTTATTCAAACTTTTTTTTCTTTTTTCCAATCA